CTCAATAGCCCCATGTGGCTAAAGACTACTGTATCAGACAGCACGGCTCTGTATTTTCCATTACAGATATATAAAGAAAGAACACAAAGAAGTGAAAATGGAAAGTGGGTCTATTTGGCTTAGGCACTGATTCTCCCCACTTGCCTTGTCTCACAGTGGGAGCAATCATTACACCCACACACGCAGTTTGAACAGATAATCAACCTCAAATAGCTGTCTTTGCCCTTGAACAGTGGCCATCCTGTGGTTAGGATGAAGGAGAATTTCCGCCTAACAGCCTCAGCCTCTGGGCCAGTGAAATCAGACAGACCGAGTTCATGTCACGTCTCTGTCACTTTCTGAGACCGTTTCTTACTCTTTCTGAGTTGTCCTCAGTTGTGAAATGAAAACACTGTTCGTTGGGTCACAGGTTTGCTTTTCAGATTAAATAAGGTGAAGTCCAGCAGCAGGTCTACCATCAAACAGATGTCAGTGAGGGGAGCTCATGTCCCATCCTTCCCCAGCTCTGGTCTACCAGTCTGCCCTCAGATAGCGAATCTTCTCGAGGCCTCTGTGAATGAAGACACTGGAATCGTACACTTCTTCCCATGGTGGGAAACTGTTAGAGTAGAAACACGACTTTAAGGACTGGGATCAGCCTTCTCTCACTGATTCAGTTCAGGCTCGTAGCTGCATGTTTTCCCAGCACAGGAAGATACCAAGACTCAGTCAATCAGAAACAGCCCTTCTTCTGATGGCCATGGACCACATGGTTAAGATATTTTGAAAAGATAATTCAAATGCATCCTTTAAAAACAATTTTTTTGTTTTCTTTTGGGGGTGGGAGGTAATTAGGTTTATTTATTTATTTTAAATGGAGGTACTGGGGGTTGAACCCCAACCCTGTGCATGCTGAGCATGTGGTCTACCACCGAGCATATCCTGCACCCTTAAAGGGGTCCTTTATGTTCTGAAGCTCTCAATACAGTAGCCATTAGCCACATGTGGCCATTTCATTCCTTTGGTTAACTTG